TTTATTTTTGGAAAATTTCCAAATTCGTTCCAAATGGTGGAGGGTATTCAAAGTTCGGCCCGGTCGAACTTACTGCTTTTTAACTTGTTAAAGCTCTTTTTGATCCTGAGGGACACTAAGAAAAAAACTTCTATAGTTTATATGAAGACCTCGGTAGATCTTCTGTAATTGGAATATCCCCAGAAGGTATTATATGTAAAAAAATGTCCCAAAAGGACTTCTGAATTAAAAGGATCTTTTGTATAAGCTATTAGAAGTAATTTAGAGCTCCTTTAGAAAAGAGATTTTTAGAGATTTTTTATATTTAGAAGTCCTCTAAAATATTTTCTCTATGTTTGGAGGACCTTTGAAAGCTCTCCTATGTTTAGAAGACCTCTATAAACTTTTTTATGTGTAGAAGGCACATGCGAGCTCTTTACGTTTAAAAGCCCTTTATAGCCATGTGTTTAGAAGAATATCAAGAGGTTTTCTAAGTTTTGGAAGGCTCTAAAAGAAACATTCTCTTTTTTTCTTTCAGAAGCTTCTTCTTGTAAAGAAGCCCGGAAAATCCTATATATCTTTGGAAAGCCCCTAGAGGCTATTTCAAGTAAAAGGAGATGTCTAGAGCAAGGGTAGTTTTTGTACTCCCCCCATTTTTTTAATCTCCCTTTGCATTGTTTTTGGCTATGGCCCTTATTGTGTGTGAGCTGAGAGCCCTTACAGGTATGGACAACCTCTACAGGCTTTTCTCTATCAAGAATGCGTCTAGAGGCTTTTCTAGGCAAATAAAACCTTTGGAAGCTCTTTCATGTTCTTCCAATTTTGTAAAAAAAAGTCGCTTAGAGCACGCTCGCCTGGCCCTGCTCTTGAGGCTCTTTATGAACCGAAAACCTTTAGAGGCTTTTCTAAAAACTGCTTCTTAGACTCTTCCTGCTTTTTAGAACCTTTAGATATTCTTCCACGTGCTGAGGTTCTGTGAATTAGATATCCATCTCCAGATTCTTCTACGTGTTAAGGTTCTGTGAATTAGATCTTCATTCCAAAGTAGATTCTCGGCAAGCTTTGGGCATTTAGAAAACCTTCCAAACGTCTCAATTCATTGACCTACTCCTATTTGCTTATATAGTCTTTTCCTTATTAAATGAGTTAGTGCTATTAGCTTACACCACCAGCTTTAACAAAAACAAAACTGGATTAGCAGTTCCTGCCAGGTGTTAAAAGGCGAAGTAGGGCCTCTATTGGTATGGTGAGGGGGGTTTCCTTTTTGTGTAGTTTGGTTTTGCACACCACCTACTTTTTTCGCACCAGGCCGTCAAATGTTAGCACTTGTGTTAGGAACTTTTAATGATAACATTATGACATGAATGGGAATTGATTACACTCGAGGAAAAAATGGAAATCAAATTGGAATTTGTGGGAAAAAATTGAATATTAAATTGTTCTAAGATCCGAAAAGAGGATGTCACTGATTCTACTTCTAATTTTTGATGTAAATTTGGTCAGTATTGAATCCATTAGATAAACAGGTTTTATAACCATTCTCTCTCTCTCTCTCTCTCTCTATCTATCTCTAGTAACTCACAAAGAGTAGTAATCTCACCAAGTGCCCATGGTCGCCCTTTTAATAAACGATGCCCTAAATGTTTAATACAGAGCTGAGGAAAAACTATATGGGCTTTTATGAAAATATTTTTTAAGAAAAAATTCAATTTTTTCTAATATTTTTCAAATTCATGTCAACTTTTTTAAAATTGAATATTGTCCTAAATGAACACCATTTTGAAGGAACTTGAAAATTTACAAAAAAAAAAAAAAAAAAAAAAAAAAAAACGTCGAAAAATACAGCTCAAAGGAAAAGTTTTTTTTTTTGGGCTATACGAAAAAGTGATCCTGCATATAGTCATAGGCTGTAGTACCCACTAGCAACTTTCAATACGAATTTTTAAACAATTCAAATTAATACTGTCGGTAATATCATCATAATACCAAATAAAGGGAGGTGCCGTTATATGTGGGCTATGTGAAGGAGTTGACCTACATAGACAATTTTCCGTCATAGGATGTAGTACCCATTACGAGCTTAAAATACGAAATTTGAAACAATTCCAGTGAATACTGTATCTTAAATCATTAAAATACGGAATATCAGGAGGTATCGTTATATGGGGGCTATACGAAAGTGTGGACCTTTATACGCCGTTTTTGTCGTAGGCTGTATTAGCTATTACAAACTTTAAATGCGAAATTTGAGGAAATTCCGGCATAAAAATTTAGCTATAATCATCAAAGTACCGAATATTGTGAGGTACCATGGGCTATATGGGGGCGATATAAAAACGTGGACTTACATAGATAATTTTCCGTCATAGGACCCATTGCGAGCTTCAAATACGAAATTTGAAACAATTCCGGTGAATTGTGTTCCTAAAATCATCAAAATATTGAATATCGGGAGGTAACATTTCCACAATTTTCCGTCATTACGAACTTTGAATACAAAATTTGAAACAATTCTGGTATAAAAACTGTTGTATGGGGGCTATGCGATATAGTGGACCTATATAGATATTTCCCTTCCAGAGGGTAAAGTACTCAGAAGGAACTCAGACAATTCAGACAATTCCATTGGAAAATGTGGCTAAAATCATCAAAATACCGAATATCAGGAGGTTTCGCTATACCGGCTGAGATAAAAAAAAACTGCAACAAAGTCAAACGCCATAATTTTTCCATTTTTTTTAAATTTTATTGAATGAAAGCAAAAAATGTCGGAAATGGCATCAAATTTTAGAATAAGTTTAGATTTGTTCGAATTGGTCACTTTTGGCACGAATTATGGCCTTCAAATGGGCAATGATGCCGCCACACGCTGCCCGAGTGTTGCTCTGCGGTATTTTGGCCCATTCCCGGCGAAGCGCTTGCTTGAGGTATTTTTTAGTGCCAACCTTACTTTCCAAAATACTCCAGACACAATAGTCCAACGGATTGGTATCCGGAGATTTTGGTGGCCAATGTGCGCAGGAAATGAAGCGAGGAACCTCATTTTTTTAACAATTTTTGGGTGGCGTGTGCTGAGTGCGATGGTTCGGTGTTCTGTTGGAATGTCCAAGGTCTGCGGCCAAAATGTTTGCGTGGCCAAGGCCTTAATACACCTTCCAGAATATTTTCGGCATTTATTCTGATGCCATGGTCGATTAATACGAGCGGAGAGCTATTATGGCGCCCACACCATCACCATGGCCGGCGCTTGAGTTCTGGTAGCCAACCGAAGGTGCACATTTTCAGCTGACCTCTTTGTCAAGTAAACACGATCATTTTGTTTGTTTACAAACAGCTGGACAACGAATGTTTTCTCATCAGAGAAAACCAAATTCGGCAGTTCACAACTTTCGGCCAAGCGAAGCAACTCTTTAGCTCTTTTGAGTCTATATTCTTTCTGTTGCGGTATAAGTTCTTGCTTTTTTTGGAATTTCAATGGCTTTATTCCGAGTTCATTTTTCAATATTTGCCGAATGGAATATTGCGATATGTTCAGCTCATGAGTCATTTTTCAGCCACTGCGACACGGGTGGGTTTCGATCAAGTCGCTTGCTTACTTTTCGAACCATTTTTGCTGATGTTGCTGTTTTCTTCCGTGCACATCCACTTCCTTGACGTCGGCCTACGCTCCAGTATCACGTTAACGAGCGATGGTACGAGACACAAAAATATTTATTCAGATTTAAATGCTGGAGTGCTCTAACGATAGCCATTTGTTGTTTTCCAGCCAAATATAAAGAAATACACTATCCCGCTTGAATTCCATCACGAATAACTTTTTTTCTGGAAAATTCTCACCAAAATGCTCTGGTACACTTGTAAACAATATAATGAGCTGTCACTGGAATAATTTGAACAACTATCGGATGAGTGGCTTAGAAATGACAGCAGTCTGAAGTTGGTTGACGTGGACCTGCATACGCGATTTTTTGTCGTAGGCTGTAGTGCCTATTACGAAATTTAAATACGAAATTTGAAACAATTCCGTTAAAAAATATAGTTATAATCATTAAAATCCCGAATATTGGGAGGTACCGTTATATGAACCGACATGGCCCATTTACGAACTTAACCTGCCTACTGGCAAAATACCCATGCGTGCAAAATTTTAGCCTTCAATCTTAATTCGTTCCAAAGATAGCGTAGTTTAATAGTTGGGGTTTTTAAATACCTCTTTCTCTCTCTCAGGCAGCTCTCTCTAATTCTCACAGAAATGTATTCTCATTTAGTGCTCAAGGGCGGCCTTTTCCTAAACATTGCATCTCTCTGTCTCTCTCAAGGTTGCCATACAGTTTTATAAAAGTTTGTTTACCACGTATTTATATTTTTCCCGAATCATCAAAACTCACTATTTTTTCGGGTGTATATCCTTCTTTCCCTACTCGATAGGTTCTAAGTAAATTCCTTAAAGACTTTTCCAACTATACTTGCTCGTTAGTAAGGAAAACTTGCAAAAAAAATATGATTGCCATGCGATTTAGGTGGTAGCGTGTCGGTGCGTGTGGAGGATTTTTGGATTTGGCCACACAAATCACAAGTTAACGGAAGCCAAAAGGGGGTCTAATTTATGGTTTTTGTGTGGAAACCTACATGACACCTAGCACACACACACCCATACACTCATCTCAAGGAGGAAAGTGGTAACATTCTTCCTGCTGCAACAACAACCGCATTGTTAACCCAATATTTGTTGTTTTCTTCTTTGCCCAACAAAGTGAAACAAAGTGGCGGGGTGAATGAATTCTAATGTTACACCCTTTCTATTTCACTGCAATTTTTGGAATTAAGTTTCGGCATTAAATGTGAGGCGTGATTTTGGTGTAGCAAAAAAAAAAAAAAACAATAACACCAAAACTAAATTTGTTGCTATTGCATGCAGCGTAATAAACTTAAGCCAACTTAATTTTGTTACAGTGTAACAATTAAATTTCGCCGAAAAAAAAAAATAAAAAAATTACATGGAGTTAGGTCACTGAACTTACCGGATCTGTGGAATGACGTCGTATACAAATGACATTAACATAAATCGACGAGGGTCCCGTTTTCCCCTCCTTATCTAATTCCACAGCCAATGCCAGATCCTTGGTACCTGGAACAATTTCCACTGGGGCATCTTTTTCTCGCAACGCCAAGTTTATGTCACCATTTTCCAAATCAGGATTGCCGTTGATACGCAACTTCCCAATAATTGTGCCTATGTCCAAGTCTTCACTGGCAAGAAAACTTTCCGCTGAACCGCCACCTTCTAGGTAACAGCGTGAATCAAGTATTGCACTTTCGACAGCTGCAAAAGAGAGAGAGGGAGAGAAAAAGGATAAGGAAATAGGTTTAAAATAAATAAATTGGAAAAATATTTTTACTTCTTGGAAATCTACCTCTTTTATGGCTAAGAACTTATTTGAATGAGGCAAATGCTACATTTTTTGAACTTATGTCTCAAAGTCTCACTTTTCTTCCCGGCAACTTATGCACGTGGGCATTGGTATCTTCTGATGTCTTTGGCATTCAAAATATCTACAAGACCTTTTGGAGGGGTTCTTTTACCAGAAGGGTTTCTTTTAGAATAACTCTTAAAGGACTTTTGCATTTGAAGCCCCTTTTGTAGGAATTCGATATTTTGATTATCTGCTGAAAGTGTTCTAAATATAAAAAAGTCTGCATCTCATAGAAGACCAGAAGAAGGTCCCTTATTCTTTCCTATACAACAATTTATTGACATCTATGTTAATTCATTGTGATTATCATCTAATGAGTGGGGAAATAATTCTCATTTAAAACATAACATCAGATGGAAAAGATGTTCGGTATTCGATCGCCAACTGTGTTGAGCTCTACATTTAGCGAGTTAAGTGCTTTACCCTCTTGATTTTATTACAGGCAAAAACCGACCTCATTTTTCAGACTTATCTGTTTTTATACCCTCTACCAAGGAGAGTATTTTCGTTGGGCGCCATTTCCGAAAAAATGCATCAACAGTAAAATATTTCCATCCCCAAGTGTTAATTTTGAAATATTGAATTAATGCTCTGTTCCAGAATATCGATTATCATATTTTTACATTCTTGCAGCTTCTAGAACCGAGGCTTAATTCATTTTTTTTTTTTCAAAATTACCACTTGGAGATGAACATATATCACTGTTAATGAATTTTTAGAAAATGGCGCCCAACGTCAAATTTTTTTAAATACCCTCGACCATACTATGGAGTTTATATTAACTTTGTCATTCCGTTTGTAATTCCTCGAAATACACATGTCAGACCCAACAAAGTGTATATATTCTTGATCAGCGTAAAATTCTAAGTCGATTTAGTGATGTCTGCCAGTCTGTCTGTTGTAATCACTCTATCTTTCAAACGAATTGAGATAGAAGGCTAAAATTTTGCACATATGTTTTTTTTGCCAGTAGGCAGGTTAAGTTCGTAAATGGGCCATGTAGGCCCACGTCTTCGTATGGCCCCCATATAACGGTATCTCCCGATATTCGGTATTTTGATGATTTTAGCGACATTATTCACAGGAATTGTTTCAAATTTGGTATTTGAGATTCGAAATGGATGCTGCTGCTGCTATGACAGAAAATTGTCTGTGCAGGTCCACGTCTTCGTATAGCCCACATATAACTGTACTTCCCGATATTCGGTACTTTGTTGATTTTAGCGACAATATTCACCGGAATTCTTTCAAATTTGGTATTTGATGTTCGTAATGGATGCTACAGCCTATGACAGAAAATTGTCCGTGCAGGTCTACGTCTTCGTATAGCCCCCATATAACGACATCTCCCGATATTCGGTATTTGGATGATTTTAGCGATATTATTCAACGGAATTGTTTCAAATTTGGTATTTGAAGTTAGAAATGGATACTACAGCCTATGAAAGAATATTGGCCGTACAGATCCACCGCTTTGTATAGCCCCCATGTAACGGTACCTCCCTATATTCGGTACTTTGTTGATTTTAGCGGCAGTTTTTACCGGAATTCTTTCAAATTTGGCATTTGAAGTTCGTAATGGATACTACAGCCTAAACCAGAAAATTGTCTGTGCAGGTCCACGTCGTCGTATAGCCCCCATATAACGGTATCTCCCGATATTCGGTATTTTGATGATTTTAGCGACATTATTCACAGGAATTGTTTCAAATTTGGTATTTGAGATTCGAAATGGATGCTGCAGCCTATGACAGAAAATTGTCTGTGCAGGTCCACTTCTTCGTATAGCCCACATATAACTGTACCTCCCGATATTCGGTATTTTAATGATTTTATCGTCATTATTCACCGGAATTCTTTCAAATTTGGTATTCGATGTTCGTAATGGATGCTATAGCCTATGACAGAAAATTGGCGGTACAGATCCACGCCTTCGTATAGCCCCCAAATAACGGTACCTCGCGATATTCGGCATTTTGATTATTTTAGCGACATTATTCACCGGAATTGTTTCAAATTTGCTAGTTGAAGTTCGTAATGGATGCTACTAAATATGACAGGAGATTGTTTGTGCAGGCCCCCATATAACGGTACCTCCCGATATTCGGTATTTTGATGATTTTAGCTAAATTATTCACCGATTTTTTTTTGTTAAGTTTCGCATTTGAATATTGTAATGGCTTATGACAAAAGTTACCTATGCAGGTTCATGTCGTCGTATAGACCCCTAATATAACAGCTACATTCGGTATTTTAAGTTATTAACTGAATTTTTAACGGATTTTATTGTTTTTGAGAATTGCCAAATTCGTTCCAAATGGTGGAGGGTATTCAAAGTTCGGCCTGCTCGAACTTACAGCTTTTTTACTTGTTTTATATGTTTTCTTATATGACGCTAATCTAAGGTTGTTATGATATGCATTTTTCAACAATTTTAACGAATTTGAATATTTTTTGATTCAATTTTTTTCAATTTCAAAATTGATTTGACAGTTCATTGTCCCAGCAGCTGTGTCAATGCGACTACCTATATTCTTCTACCATGGGTGATGCCATATTACAATATAAAAATGTTTGCCTACTTTATTCAAAAGCGTCCCTTATGGCGTCAGTTTATTGCGTTGCATCTAACACTAGGTTAACACAGCAGTTGGTAAAATACCTTTTTTTGGCAATTATTGTAAACTTTCATCTACGAAATATTAAACAAATGATAATTTTAACATATAACTCTTACCATAGACCTTCAAATCGTACATTACACAAAAAAAATGCAGACCCACAATATCTAATTTTATGACATAACTCACTCAGCACTGCCGGTACGCAATAACGGAAAAAATCAAAATAAATTTAATTGAGAAAGGAAACCTATAAAACAACAAAAAATTAAAAAGAAAAAAATATCAACAAAAAAAATTAATTAACAAAATAAGCAACGAAGCTTGAGAGGAAAAAATGTTATTTAAAGCGAAACATATATTTTTCAAATTAGTAGTTGCAATTACAAAAAAAACAACAACAAAAACTACCTCCAAAAGACATCAAAGTCACTCAGAAAGACAATTTTGTTGGTAAACCATAAATTCATTAAACAACAGCAACAACATCGAGAGAGTTACATTTGTTGCAATGTTACGCAGTGTTACCCTTCCCTCCCTTCCCCCACTAAATGTGCTGCAATGCATGGCAAGATACTGCCGCATATGTGGCCGTTAAGACACAAATCATTTAACCAGAACGCAATGTATATATATGTATTTTTATTACATATATATACATGGCTATGTATTTTGTATCATAGTTTGTCATACAAACACTTCATACATGTGCCATATGCAACATTTAATGAGTCCCAACTTTCGCACACATGACTGGCATTTGGGAAGGGGAGTGAAGGTTTCTTTTTAAATTTGAGTCTACCTCAATTGAACCCGATTTGAATTGTCTTGACTTGATAGACTTCATTACTTATCACCGTGCTTCCCGACGGTATTCCCCAATATTTTTTTTTAATGAAGAGTTTTTTTTATAGACCTCTCCCAAATCAAAGGCGTTGTAGAATATTAGGGTGGAACACAACCAGAATACTTTCCAAAGATCTTTTAATTCATAGCTTACACAGGATGAGATAAAAACAAGTAGAAAAGCTGTAAGTTCAACCGGGCCGAACTTTTAATACCCTCCACCATTTGGAACGAATTTGGCAATTCTCAAAAACAATAAAATCCGTTCACAATTCTGTTAAAATCTTAAAAATACCGAATGTAGCTGTTACATTAGGGTCTATACGACGACATGCACCTGCATAAGTATCTTTTGTCATAAGCCACTGCAATATTCAAATGCGAAACTTAAACAAGTAAAAAACAACATTAAGTTCGGACGGGCCGAACTTTTAATACCTTCTGCCTTAGGGTAGGGAAACATTAGAACCCATTGTGACCCACAAATACCAATTTTTAGACAGATTCGTGGGAAAATGTCCCAAAAATCATAAAAATATCGAATATCTTGAGGTACCGCTATAGGGAGCTATACAAAAACGTGCACCTATACATACAATGTTTCGGCAACGGAGCTAGAACGCACTGTGACCCAAAAATACCAGTTTTTAGACAAATCCGCGAAGAAATGTGGCAAAAATCATCAAAATGCCAAAAATCGGGAGGTACTTTTATATGGGGGCTATACCAAAGCGTAGACCCATACATACAAAATTTCGCCACCGCAACCAGAACCTATTATGACCAACAAATACCATTTTTTAGAGAAATTCGTGGAAAAAATGTGGCAAAAATCATCAAAACGCCAAAAATCGGGAGGTACTTTTATATGGGGGCTATACCAAAGCGTAGACCCATACATACAATATTTCGCACCCGCAGCCAGAACCTATTATGACTAACAAATACCAATTTTTAGATAAATTCGTAAAAAAATGTGACAAAAACCATCAAAATACCAAAAATCGGGAGGTACCGTTATATGGGGGCTATACCAAATGGTGGACCTATACATACAATGTTTTGCCACCGGAGCTAGAACCCATTATGACCCACAAATACCAATTTTTAGACAAATCCGTGGAAAAAATGTGGCGAAAATCATCAAAATACTAAAAATCGGGAAGTACCCTAATATGAGGGCTATACCAAAACGTGGACCCATACATACACTATTTCGCCACCGCAGCCAGAACCTGTTTTGACCAACAAATACCAATTTTTAGACAAATCCGAGGAAAAAATGTGGCAAAAATTGTCAAAATACTAAATATCGGGAGGTACCCTAATATGGGGACTATACCAAAACGTGGACCTATACATACAATGTTTCGCCACCGCAG